GTTGCCACAGGCAGAGGATGGAATGGACGAAACGGATAAAGGGAGTCAAAAACTGCCAAGTTCCAGTTATCAAATAAGGAAGCCATGGGGATGTAATGTACAGGATGGTGACTACAGTTAACACTGGATTACATATTTGAAAGTTGCTAAGACAGTAGACTTCAGAAGTTCTCATCACAAGAAAAAGAATTCTGCAACTAGGTGTGGTGATGGATGATACCTAGACTCGTTATGGTGATCACTTCACGATACATACAAATATTAAACCATTATGGTGTACAATGAAACTAATATGTTGTATGTAAATTATACCTTGATTAAAAAAAAATGTATTGGTTACTGAAGACAGTAAATCTTGGGTCTCCTACAAAAACAGCAGTGCCATTCTCAGACATGTTTGTGACCTGGGAGAACCGGCTATGAGCAGAACCTATTTTTGTGTTTGTTTTTCATAAACAACCCTGAACAACATGTGCAGAGAGGTGTGGGGCAGGCAGGGGGCGATGAGGGGTCGAGTATCTAAAACTACTCCTCATATTCAAGTTCAAGGAAGCTTAATTGCTGATAACTCTCAGAAACAGAAACAGAGGGGCGGGTGCCTGAGTAGCTCAGACAATTAAGCATCCCACTTCAGCTCAGGTCATGATTTCGTGGTTCCTGAGATGGAGCCCTACATCGGGCTCTGCACGGACAGTGTGGAGCCTGCTTGGGATTCTCTCTCTCCCTCTCTCTCTCTGCCCTTCCCCTACTTGCACACACATATACTCTCTCTCCCAAAATAAAAAAAACCTAAAAAAAAAAAAAAAAAAGAAACAGGAACAGAATACAATGTACCCCAAGGAAAAATGCTTATCACCAGGCAAAACTGCCACCAAGCAGGTGAGCTTTCAGAATTAGGAAGAACGTGGTAGTTAGAAATATGGAGAAAGAAATTTTTTAAATTAAGGATGAAAAAGAAGTAGTATTTCTGACCAATCCCGTCACTGAACAAACATACATTTACCATGCATGAATATATAAATGGAGCCCAGGATTTAAGAAACAGGGTAACAGATCAATATTGGGCCTGAATGACAGGTTTTCACTAAAACACCTTGCTTCATTCCATGAATTTTCCAGTTTTCCTAGACAATGATCTACACCCATCACATCAGTCTCTTCCCCACCAACCCCAAACTATAAACGTTAAGCTAGACGTTCACAACCTACACTAGCAAAATGCCTCACCAAGGCAAAGACCGGGCGGGAGGGCTGGGGGAGTTTCATTCTCTCTCCCAGTTTTCAGTGGGTCAACAAATTCTTTCCAATCATTATCACTTACCTTAGCCATGTTGTTTTTTACAGGAACTGCTTGGCATATAACTGACTTAGTTCAATTTACAGCCTAAAAAAGAAACTACACGCATACGGCGTGGCTAATCTATTTTGGGTTAACTGTAAAGACCAGTACCCACCCCTGCTCCAAATTCTAAATTCTACCGCCTCGTCTCTATGTCACAACAAGGTTAGCTGAAAACCATCCTGCAGGCTGCACTATGGCTTTAAGAAGAAATAAATGATCCCACAAGTCTTTGGCAAATGTACAGCTAAACATAGCAGAAATCTCATGTATATGGATTTAAAGTTTCTCCTTTGGGAATTTTGCAAGCAAACAAAATGATTTATTTAGCCAATTCAAATGAACTGTATCAAAACACACAAAGGCCTGGAGGAAAGATTACAATGAAAACAAGTAATTCAAAGCAATTTCTGATCCAAAACATTCCGCTTAGCTCTACAAAGATATGAATAAGGTGTGGTCATGTTTTCTGACAGATTTCACTGCTCCTTGCCTTCAAGTGAAACACTGCCATAATATCTTGAATGCTTAACGTATGCCTGGAAGAAATGTTTATCAGTCCTTTAGCTGCTAATGGGAGGAGTAGGTGTGGTCAGACCATAAAGTGTATATAAACAGATCATGTAGAGTTGTACTGTGCTGGACAGACAGTAGCCCTAGACACGTGTCTTTTGAGCATCTGAAATGTGGCTAGTATGACTAAGAACTAAAATTGTATTATGACTTGATATTGGATTCAGTTACTGGCAAACTTAAAAATGTTTGTTTTTTTTCCAACAATGTGGATGTGTGAGTCTACTTTTTCCTGTATGTTTTATGACATATAAATACAGATCGAGTACTCCTGATGAAAACTTAGCATCCGAATTGAGATGTACCATGGGAGGATTTGCAGTTGATTTTGAACACTTGGTGTGAAAACAAATGTAAAATATTTCAGTATTTTTTTAATATGGAGTATTGAAATATTTTGGATATACTAAATAAAGTATACAATAAAATTAATTACACTTTTGTAATGTGGGTCCCAGAAAACTGAAAATGACAGAGGGCTCTCATCCTATTTCTATGGGGCAGTGCTGTTCTAGACTGATCTGAAGTCTTGAGGACTTGAACGCCATCTGCTGGATACATGTGTACAAAACAGGCCCACAAGAACCGGTAAAACTAATTGTGTTAACACTTCAGCTCTGGGTCTGAAAAGGAAGAGGATGTTAACTGGGCTCATGAAACAACTACATGTATGCTAAGAGAGGATTAGAAATGTTTATATAGTCTTGAAATCCTAGAGGACATCCGACTTACAGTTATTAGTCGACAGTGACCATAAGCCAAAGGGCAGACTGCTTCGCCATCCACCCTAGGTTGGGCCATCCTGGGCAACGATGAAAGGTTATTTGGGGATCCTGCTCATGACGGCTACTCCCACAAGCCTGGGCTTACTGCTGTCTGGCTGGCCTTCCCGCCTGTTCTCCACAATCAGCTCTCAAGCCCTTCTGCTCTACCTCATAAACATGTTCTTTCCATTGTTCTCATTTGTCTATTGTTTTTGTTCTTCCCTTCCATTTTTTTGTTTTCTTAGGATTCCAGTGAACTATTATTTCTATTTTTTCTCTCTAGTATTCCAATTTTCCTTTTTTGTCCCTCTCCCTTTGTACTACAAGCTGTCTCAGTTGGTTTTGTAGCTTTAGTTCCTATGTTTAGGTCTTTGATCCATTTTGACAATGAGTTGGTTTTGTTTATGGTCTGAGTTGTGGGTCCAAATTCATTCTTTTGCATGCAGATAGTTGTCCCAAAATCATCTGAAGAAACTATCCTTTACCTCATTGGATGGCCTTGGCACCACTGTCAAAACTCAACTGACCACAGAAATAAGGATTTATTTTTGGACTCAACGCTAGTCCATGGATCTAGGTCAGTACCGCACTGCTTTGATTCCTGTAGCTTGTAGTAAGTCTTGAAATGAGGAAGTGCGAGTCCTCCAACTTTGTTCTTTTTCAAGATTGTTTTGGATACTCTGCGTCTCTTGAATTCCATACCAATTTTAGGATCAGCTTATCAAGTTTTGCAAAAAATGTTACTGGGTCAGTTGATATTAATGTATATTTTTTAAAAATAAGTATTTGCCTGGGATGCCTGGGTGGCTCAGTCGGTTAAGTGTCTGACTTCAGCTCAGGTCCTGATCTCACGGTTCACGAGTTCAAGCCCTGCATGGGGCTCTGTACTGAGAGCTCAGAGCCTGGAGCCTGCTTCAGAGTCTGTGTCTCCCTCTCTCTCTGCCCCTCCCCCACTCACGCTGTCTCTCAAAAAATAAACATTAAAAAAATTTTTTTTGAAGAGGTATTTGCCTGATCAGGCTGACAGAATGACCCTTAGTAGGGCAGGCAACTTTGCCTTTGACATGGAGTTCAGAAGTTAAGTTTGCAAGAATATGGGATTTTCATCTAATACTATTTGATAACTGGGACAAGACTGAGAGCAGATGGCACTGGAGAAAGTGAGGCTAGAGCAAACATGAGCCTAAATAAACTGCCCTGAAGTCCCAGAGCTGCCATACGGATGCTACATGACCTTGGACAAGTCATTGACCTTCTCTGCACTGCAGTTTGCAATCTGTAATGAGAAGGGGGCATTCCCATCAATAACACTGAGACTATGTGCATCAGAGCCCCAAGAGTGCAGGCTCCTTCTGGTACCTGAAAGACCTGCTCTAGCACATTCTTACAGGGAGTCCTATGGGCCAACTCCCACTGCTTGTCTGCAGCTGTAAAGACACGGAGGTGCAGCGGGCACAGGAAATGCTTCTGGAGCTCTGCTCATTGTTAGTAAAGACAAAGGGACCTCCCTCCTCTTACTCCAGCTCAGGTCTATTCCAATCAGACTTCTGAGGTGACTTGGCTCCTGAGAGTGATGAGGGCCTACAGTGGACGCAACAGAGAGGCAGGCCCAGCTGAAAAACTAACCCTTAAGCTAAGAAGCATCTCACTCTCTGACCAGGCTGAGCAGCCTCCACATGTGCCCCAGGGACTCTACACACACTTACCGAATGCCCACTAGGCATGTGTGGCGACAACCATCATTTAGGATGGGATGACAAGATAAGTGACTTCACCCTCTACCTTTCTGGATTATGAAGTTCTCCTCTCTGGTCTTATTTCAAATGTTATTACTTAATAGTCCACCAGCTTCATGGTCCTCTTGGAGACTAGATCACTTTGCCCCACAGTGTCCCCTCATTTGCCACTTTGACAGCCTAACACACCTCCCGACAGATACGGAATTGATATGGAAGCTGAATCCTTGGAACAAAGAAAGCTGCACTCTAGTATCTGCAAAAGGAAAGGAATGGAACCCTTAAATCTAGGTAAGCCAAGGAAGTGGTTATGAAACAGGGTTACGAGCTCTTCGGGGTCGTACATGACAGCTTACACATAAATCCAGAAGGACAGGGCTCCATATCAATTAGAAAAAAATGAACAGCCAAGTGGCCACAGAATTCCCATGGTACCATTCACTTTCTTCCTTGCTGACAGACAAATCCAACCTGAAGTCTGTGTCTTCCAGGGAAAGGATGGGAGGAAACAGGTACAATTCAGTCCCTAAAATTAAATTATCTTCCCCAATTTAGGAGAAGAAGGCACTATCCACAGTAGAGACCCAAATCAGACCGGTTTGGAAGTTCATGTCACTTGTTTGTAATATGATATCATATCATCCAGAGTTTCAAAAGTGACTGTCGGGGCTCGTGGTGGGCTGCTGGGGGCAGGAGTGGATGGTGGATGTGAAGAGCCAGTGTCACGACTCTGGCCAGAGCACTGTCCTGGGTCGCTCGGTGCAGCTGCAGGTCTGCTCCACGTCTCGCTACTGAGGGAAGCAGTTCTCTTTTGACCCACAAAGTAATCCGATGGTGGGGCAAACTCAGGATCTCTCTCAGCCCGGAGATCTGACTGCCTCTTCGACCAGAACCCAAAGGAAAACTCTAATAAAAATAAGAAAGAGTATTATTAGAAGTAAAGACCAAATCAGTTGAATTTTTATTGTTATTACTTTTCGATTATTACACATACTTCTTAAATGCCAACTCCCATTCTCTGGAGGAGATAGCAAGGAAAGCAATAATATAATACGAGGTATACGTAAGGCCTACAAAAATATAAGGAAGCAGCAGGCTAAGCAAAGGGAGTGACTACTTCCAGATGGGGAAGATTCAAGGAAGGCTCTGGCGGAGAAGGCTGGTAGCTTCTGGAAGTATTGCCAAAAAGGCACTAAAATTACATCTGAGAGAGAAATACAGAAAAACCAAACACTCAAATCATTTGCTAGACATAACGTAGGTACTTCACAACAAAATACAAATTTTGGCCTTTACTGAGTTTTAGAAGACACGAAAGTCCAAATCTAATTTGGCATTTCATCTCTATTTCTAACTAGCACTAACCAAATGCACTGGCCTATTTGCCTTTATTGAGTCTTGGATCTCATCAGCTCAAACAGGGTGAGCTAATGCACTACTGTAACAATCTTGTTCAAAGAGGCATAAATCCTGGTCTCCCCCAACAAGAAGCTGCTGTGGGCATCATGGTAGATTTACAGAAATAATTTACGGAAAAATCTGCATGACCCAACAGAACCATACGTGAATCCAGGTGAATCCTGTGGCATGCAGACTATTTTCAACTAAACGTAAAGGAGGCTGCTAAAAACACAGAGGACGTTGAAATACCAAACCTTGTAAGATTTTTAAAAGTGGCTCCTGAGAAAGGGCATTCCAAAGCTGTAAAGCCACACGAGGGTAGCACAAATTTTTAAAAACTTCCCCCAGTGCTTCTAAAAAAAATTGTCCTTTTGAAATGACCTGTTGTAGACCCTGGTCTTCTATAATCACACTTTCTAGTGTCCCTGTTTACAAACAGCTAGGGTCTGGGTACTGAGAAGAAACAGTTCAAAGATCTGGAGAGTTCCGTGAGCCTCAAAAGCCTCTACACTAAGACTCATGAGAATCACACTCTGAGATGAACTGGAAAAGTCTGTGCAAGGCCTGTTTAGAACCCGCCCCCCCCACCCCTTACCTTTTCCTCTGTCCCACTCTCGGACATGCGGCACTCCCGGGCGGGTATCCTTCCTCTCCTGAACGATGACTTCCACTTTGCTGCTCTGGGCAGCAGTACGTGGGGTTGGCACAGCCTCTGGTTCTGGTGGCAAAGGCCCAATAACATCTATTTTTTTGCAACAGAATAAGACATCACTATAATAAAACTTAAAGCTATTATTAAAATAAACATTAAATAGAACATGCTCATCTTGAGAGTAAAAGTAACAGCCAGTATTTAATGAGCACCTATTTTGGCCCAGGGAGTGAACTAAGTACCTTGTGTACAATAGTTTGTGTAATTCTTATAATAACCCTCATAAAGTCAGGGTTAGTATTCCTATTTTATAAATGAGGAAAATTAAGCTCAGAAATGCTACACAGGTAGAAGGTGACAAGAGCCAGGATCCGAACCCAGGTAGGATGGATTTCAAAGTCTCTGTGCTTCCCACTATGCCACCCTGCTTCCCCAGACCGACAACTGAAGGACCAGAAACCCCCAGTTACTCCACTAAAATAAGAGTCTCAGACAAAGCAAGAGAACTTGGAGTGACAAAGAGCTGGGGTATGGCAGTGGGCTATAGGCTCTTCACCTTTGGCTAGATTTTAAAAGAAAGTGGATTTTTCAAAAAACACTGTGTGGCGCTCCACATCTTGGAGAGATGACAGATGTTCAGGAGTAGAGCAAAAAATAGAGAAACAATATGCAGAGCTTAACACGTTACAGGAACACAGCATTTATACAAAACTAAACAGATGATCTTCCAATTCCTAAATGTTTCTTGTCTCCTTTCAAAGCTAAACTGAAGCTGTGTTCAGAATAGAAAATGGCCGATGGCTTAGCACAAGGCTTCCATGTGAGCAGGAGAGGCTTGTATAACATGCTCCTGATACCCACACTCACCTTTTTCGTTTTGGGAATGGAACGCCCTGCCCCCAGTTTCAGTTAGAGATGTGGCCACCTCGCTAGATAGGCCATTCCCCAGGGGCCCCTGCAGCTGCATTCAGGCCAGTGGGTTGTAAATGCATGGTTGTGTGGGCCTTCCAATTCACATTCCTAAAGAAGCAACAGGTTCCTCTCCCCTCTTTCCCGCTTCCCTAGGGCTGGACCATGAACAGGTGGTAGGGAGCAAGCTTCCACCCTGCAGGTAGAGCATCACTCTAGGAACGGCAGAAGCAGGAAAACAGGAGGAAGCTGGGGACTGGGTGACCACGTGGGGCAGAGCTACTACCTGCCTAGACACCCACCACCTCCAAAGGATTAAAACCAAAAATAGACTTCCAGCTCGTTGGAGCCAGTCCATGCAGGAGTCTCAGGAATGGCAGTGAAGCCCAGACTAGGGTAGCTCACGCAGCAAGCAGAAGCCTTCAGGGACACAACATGCCATGTGGTGTTTCCACGTGTTGTGACAGTCCTTTCAGAAGCTGTCTATACTCGTAAATTCTTTCCTTTCTTACGTGACTTTTGTGAATATATTTCTCCTTTAAAATAAATTAATGCACAATAACCAAAAAAACTTATAGCCATAGCAAAAGAAACCAAGTCTAAAATGTGTGTGTACAACAAAACTCTATCTTAAAACATCTCTGCTCTAAGTGAAGTCTCGTTTACTAAGCCAGGCCCTTCTATGAAGTAACACAATGTCCTGTTCATTAATATTCTTGTCTGTATAAAAAGATTCTTTCGAGTGTCATTCTGCACCACGTGGATTATAAAAAACTGCTCCCGGCAGTACCCCAAAGGTACCCTGCTTGCTTAGAGAATAAAACTAAATGGCTCATTTCCAGATTGTCAGTCCTGTTCACTGAGACATCAGTGGAACTAAAGATTTTCCTTTTGAAGTTCAGACACAATGAGCCACGATATACCTTTGTTTTCTTCCTCTGCTCCATCTTCTTTTGACTTTTTCATCTTTTTTTGTCGGAGTTTAGCAAGCCTTGCTTCTAACATAGCCTTTCGCTTTTCCTTTATGTTCTCTCGTTTTGTTCTCTGATCTGTTGTCTGAATATAACAGAAAATTAGAAATTTACTGTAAATCAAATTCACAATATTTCTTCTCAAATTAAAATTATTAAAAGTGAATTTAAAGGATTAAATATTAATTTTATCTTAAAAAACAGACTAATTAATTGATTTCAGGCCACCACTAGGCAGCTAGCCTTGAGCTCTTCAAAACAGAGACCTAGGAGGCCCTCTTATACAAGCCCTCTGGCATGTTTTCTAAGTTTAGCGAGTGTTCACAGAGCGCCCTGGAATGCTTCACATTCAAGGAAACCAACCAATTCTGTTCTACTCCTTAATCCCTTAAATAAATCCCTTAAATAACTCTCTATTTTCTTACCCAGGCCACTCTAAAAGTACCATATTTAAAACCAAATTTAAAACATCAAAGTTATATAAGTTAGTTCTAAGCAGCTATAATTTTAAAGTCTGGAACACCAAAATAGAATAGCAATTACATTCATAAAACTATAATAGCATTCTGATACTGATAAATAATAGTTTATTGATAAAACTGTCACTATTTGCAGAAGACGGGATGTTATATATAGAAACCCTAAAGACACCAACCAAAAAACTGTTGGAACTAATAAATGAATTCAGTGAAGTTGCAAGATACAAAAGCAATATACAAAAATCTGTTATGTTTCTATACGCTAGTAACAAACTATCAGAAAAAGAATTAAGAAGACATTCCCATTTATAATTACATCAAAAAGAATAAAATGCTTAGGAATAAATTTAACCTAGGAGGTAAAAGACTTGTACTCTGAAAACTATAAAGCAACAATGAAAGAAACTGAAGAAGACACAAAGAAATGGAAAAATATAGCATGCTCATAGACTGGAAGAATGAATATTAATAAAACATCCATATTATCCAAAGCAATCTACGATTCAATGCAATCTCTATCAAAATTGCAACAAGTATTTTTCACAATAGAACAAACAATGCTAAAATTTGTATGGAAACACTAAAGACCATGAATAAGCATTCTTGAGAAAGAAAAAAAAAACTGGAAGCCTCAGACTTCCTGATTTCAAACTGTATTACAAAGCTATAGTAATCAAAGCAGTTAGGCACTGGCATAGAAACAGACACAAAGATCAGTGGAACAGAAAAGAGAACCTAGAAATAAAGCCAAGCATACACAGTCAATTGATTTATGACAAAGGAGCCAATAATATGCAATGGGGAAAAGACAATCTCTTTAATAAATCATGTGAGAAAAAAGGAACAGGCAGGTGCAAACAGTGAAACTGGACCGCTATCTTACACCATATACAAAAATTAACCCAAAATGGACTAAAGACTTGAACACAAGACTCCAAACTATAAAACGTCTTGAAGAAAATATAGGCCATAAGCTCCTTAACATCAGTCTTGGCAATGACTTTTTGGATCTGACACTAAAAGCAAAGGCAAGAAAAGCAAAAACAAACAAGTGGGACTATAACTAAAAACTTCTGCACAGCAAAGGAACCCATCAACAAAATGAAAGACAACCTACTGGATGGGAGATATATTTGCAAATCATATTATCGGATAAGGGATTAATATATACATTAAAACAGTCCGATTAAAAAACAGGCAGGTAATTTGAACATTTTTCCAAAAATACATACAGATGGCTAACAGACACATGAACAGATGCTAAATATCACTGATCATCAGGGAAATGCAAATCTAAAACCATAATGAGCTTTCGTCTTGTACCTATTAGAATGACTATTATCAAAAAGACTAAAAACAACAAATGTTGGCAAGGATGTAAAGAAAGGGGAACACTTGTGCATTGTTGGTAGGCACGTAAATAGGTGCAGTCACTATGGAAAACAGTATAGAGGTTCCTCAAAAAATTAACCATATGATCCAGTGATTCCAGTTCCGCTTATTTATCTGAAGAAAATGAAAATGCTAACTCAAAAAGATATCTGCATCCCCATGTTCACTGCAGAATTATGTACAACAGCCAAGACATGGAAACAACCTAAGTGTCCATCAATGGATGAATGGATACAGAAGGGGTGGGAGGAATGGAATATTACTCAGCCATAAAAAAGAAGTCTATTTTGTCATTTGAACCAGATGGATGGACCTTGAGAACATTATACTAAATGAGATAAGTCAGACAGGAAAAGACAAATACTGCATGATCTCACTTATATGTGGAATCTAACCCCCTTCCCTAAGGAAAAAAAAAACAAAGACAAATATAAGCTTATAGGTACAGAGAACAGATTGGTGGTTGACAGAAGTGAGGGTAGGGGGTGGACAAAATGGGTGACAGGAATCGAAAGGTATTTAAACTTCCACTTATAAAATAAGTAAGTCATGGGGATGTAATGGAAAACATGGCAATCACAGTTAATAATACTGTAATGCATATTTGAACGTTGCTAAGACAGTACATCTTAAAAGTTCTCATCACAAGAAAAAAAATTTTTGTAACTATGTATAGTGACAGATAGTAACTAAACTTAATGTGACAATCAATTTGCTATATACACAAATACTGAATAAGTATATTGTATACCTGAAACTAACATAATGTTATGTGTTAATTATACATCAATTAAAAAGTAATAATACAGTATCTGGTTTATGGCCACAATATTTACTAATTATCAGAAATATTAATCTTTAATAAAATGGAAAGTTTATTTAAGGTACTTTTATCCATCACTGCTCTGAATATTAACTATTAAATAAATATTTTTTAAAAAAGGCCGGGGCGCCTGGGTGGTTCAGTCGGTTAAGTGTCCGACTTTGGCTCAGGTCATAATCTCATGGTCTGCGAGTTCGAGCCCTGCGTCGGGCTCTGTTCTGACAGCTCAGAGCCTGGAGCCTGTTTCAGATTCTGCGTCTCTCTCTCTCTCTCTGACCCTCCCCCATTCATGCTCTGTCTCTGTCTCAAAAATAAATAAATGTTACAAAAAAAAATTTTTTTTAAAGGCCATTTTGAGTATCAATTTAAAAAATAGACCATTTCCATAATATGGTCCAACAAGAAACAAACCGCTCTCAAATACTTAACATCAATTCTGAATTTAATTTTTACCTGTTCACGTAGCATCTCTAACGTTTTCATCTGCTTGTTTCTCAACTCTTTATCTCGGGCAAAGGCAAAATATCCAACACCAAGTTGCCGGGCCTCTGAAATAAGTCACAATTTTTCAGAAGATTAGAGTTCCCTGATTAACAAATTAGAGTCAGGCTAAATTTCCAATGAAGGCAAAAAGAAACGCAGTAATATTTGACACAAGTTTAAAAAAAAAGGCAGCTAAGCCAAAACGATCTCCTGCTTATGATTAGCAGGCCCTCTGTTAGAAAGATATTCCCAACAAGAGTATTTTTTAGGCTATAAAGCAAACAAAGGGGATATTTTCAATTTCAAAATCAGAATCTTTTATTTCTATGTAAGAGCTACAGCTTTATGAATATTTCCCTTTATGCTTGCCATTAGTCCAAAAAAAAAAAAAAAAAGATTTAAAAAGCTGCAAGATGATTATACCATTTTCACGAATGTCTTCATAATGTATGGGCCCCATCGGCCTTTTCAAGGCCTCTCTTTCTTCTTCCTCCCATTGCTGGCGCTGAAGTTCTTTTCTCATATCTTCAGATAATAAGGTTTTCTCATTAGCAGGACTAACGAAACTAGTAGGGGGACAGAGCAAAGCTATATTTAGGTAAGAGCTGTGAGACAGCAATACTTCAGTTCAGTAAGCTGGATCATGGGCAAGTAATTCTAGCTGATAAGGTAATTCCTTACAGAATTTTCTGACCCACAATACCACTGGGAAACTGCAAAAACTGTTTTCATCTTTCTTTAATTAAGCAGCTGACTTGTTACATTAGTGCAACAGAATCTTGCCTCAGCACTTGAGACAAACCACTTTCCTTCCCATCCCCTTCTGGGCTAAAGGGGAGGAAGAAGCCAGGGCCTCGGCTGCATGGTCAGCTGCGTAACACTGCAGCCAGGCAGTGTCTCCTGTCCCGTGTCAGGTAGCTCAGGGCTCCTGCACTTCCTTCCTTGTGCTGAGCCCAGGCCGATCTGAACCTGAAGGACTTGGACAAGGTGGACTTTCCACATCAAAACTGCCCTTGGTGAGGGGAATTTTATTCCCTGGAGTGTACTAGCAAGTTATCTCTTAGATGTCTCTGGCTCTAAAGGAAAAAATCCAGCAATAAGGCCCTTGCTTCAAAATGCAAAAATTAGTATAAAGTTAATAAGCTAACCACCTCTGTGCTCTTACTTGCTATGGGATAACCAAGTATATATTCCTAAATATCTTTCTCCACAAAGGTTTGTTTGTTGGTTTGGGCTCATTCTATATTTTTAACTCTGATAATCAGACACCCTTCCAAGTAAACAGATATAGCTTCCAACTCATCCCTTTCAGTAGCTACACAATATGGATGATCAACTATTCAGGTTGTTCCCTGAGTGTGGATTATGTGTGTGTGCTAACCATAGAAGAGTTCTTCAGCAAATATTCTTACGCATCAAGAAAAAAACCTTCTTACTGGACCGTCAAGACAATGAACTAAAAGCAGCCTCACCCATAAAACAATCCCTATGTCTGCATTTCAGACCTGGGCAGCGGTTTGCATATCACATACTTACAGCCTCCCCTGAAGATTTTTATCCATCTCCAGCAGATCTGGCAAATCCTTTTTCATACAGCGGCGAGATCGCCCTAAAGAATCCACATAATCCACCCTAAAATAAAAGTGAAAACATGTGAAGAAGGCTTTGTACATGACATATGGTTCCTTAAGTTACAGACTAGGTGCACAGTAAAAAAGTAATGTAAGCTTCACTACCAAGAAACACTCTCAACCCTGAGAGACCATAACCACGGATAAGAACATGTTTTTTTTTTTTTTAAGTTGACACACAATAAGCTCATTGTGCCCTCTGTTAAACCTTAGTTTTAGAAAATGCAGAAAATGATTGATCATATATGTCTGTGATTTAATACAAGGGTGCCTAGTGGCTCAGTCAGTCAAGCGTCCGACTTCGGCTCAGGTCATGATCTCACAGTTCATGAGTTGGAGGCCCACATCGGGCTCTGCACTGACAGCTCAGGGCCTGGAGCCTGCTTCGGATTCTGTGTCTCCCTCTCTCTCTCTCTGCCCCTCCCCTGCTTGTGTGCATGCTCTCTTGCTCTCTCCCAAAAATAAACATTTAAAAAAATAAATAAAATAAAAACACCCCACACAGACCCTTGCCACAATACCTCAGAACTTCCTTCAGTCTGGTTTAGACAATTCCACATATTTTACCAGCATAACTTTGCTCTGTACCATGCTCAACCTGCTCATTTTCTGTCTTTGCAAACCTGACTTTTTATTCTTTCTTTTACTTCTTCTAATTGGTACAGCTCCTTCCAATTAGAAATTTCTCAAGTCAGGATTACTATGAGGACTCATTAATTAGGAGGAAGCCAAGCAACACACATTTTGTACTGCAAAAGCAGCTCAGTGGTGGGCCAGTCTATTATCTTTTACTTTTAGTTCCGCTTTCTCTAGCTTTGCCCAAACCAGACAGAAGTTACAGTCAGGGGAACCAGGCAGACATCAAGGCAAAACGAAATACTCCTACTTCCAACAGGAAATATGGACGGATTTTCATGGAAAACATTTCAACTGCATTATGATGCAACAGATTTATTGTTTAATTATGGGCAAGGAATTGCCTATAGCCTTTAGCAGGGGGCTAAAAACACAGAAAGGGGTCAGTACTGCTGGTGCAACTCAAGATCAGAGTCTCATGTATGTGGCTCTGCTTTTGTTGGCAATTTCTTTCCTCTTACACGTGCTGATTCCAATTGTTAGCCCATGACTTGGAAACTGAATGTCTGGGAATCTATTACTATAGTCCTGACGCTGATTGCTGTGAGAAATAAAACCTCCAACTGCAGAAGGCAGTTTCTTTCTTCCTCCCTCCCCCCTCCACTTTTTTTAATGAATAGAGAAATAAAATCATCTAGCCAGATGGTCTGAGTAATTATTTACAGTATTTTTGCGGAAAGATTTTCCACCACCTGGAACTTAACTACCAAAAGGATTTTACAAGTAGCTACAATTCTGGAGCTTAATTTAAAAACAAAAAAAGTGTCAGAACTGCTTGCGGTGCGTCTTCCTTCACCATATGGTGGCATGTGACACCTTCAATTGCCCTCCAAACTCTTCAAATCACTGACAAATTGCTAGTAATCATACAAGCATTAGGAAGAAAAAAAAAAGACATTAAACCTTTCAAAGGAGATGAGATTTCTGCTATGAAAAGCAATCATAGGCTATTCTGTTTCTGGAGAAGGTCTCTAAAATGTACAGATCCCCTCAAAACAGAAGTGGCAAGACAGTAGTCAGCAAGTGCTCTATGTAATCAGCAATCACTGAACAAGCTCCAGGAAAACAATTACTTGAGGTACAAGAGTAATATGGCAGGGCTCAGAGTCATGGCATCTTCAAAGCGCTCTCAGGGAGAGTTAAGGCCCGTGCCCATGAAACGCTTCCTAACATCAGCAGGGAGGATATAAGAAGTACCAAAGTTTTGTCTCGAATTTTTTTTCTAGTAACGAGGCCAGTTGTGTGTCAATAATAAAGAGAAGCTAAGACCCAAAGGAGTCGGAAGCATATCTAAGTGCTACCAGATTTCGGGTGAGGGAGAAATCGCTCATACTGGAAACGATGAGGAAAAGCATCAGTAGAAGAGACGACGTCGTATGTGCTTCTCTTTGGGTTGCTTTTAACAACCCAAAGTATGCAGCCAGAAAACCTAGCCCAAATGTAAATTTTTAGAAAGCAGATAACATCTGTTCTATCCCAATGTCATGTTATTTCCGGACAACGTGGACACCCTCGGTAGTATGAAGATGTGAGGTCCCTGCAATCCTCAGTAGCCGGACCTGCTCTCTTAAGCTCACCGATGACTCCTACCGACGGGGCCAAGAGCTGACAAAAGGTCAGCAAGTGCTGCAAACTATCCTGAGCGGTTCCCAACAAAGATCCCAATAATGAGGATATTTGAGCCTGGAAGAGAAGGTGGGTAGGCTCTGCACTGGCAAGAGGGTGGGCAGGCGGGGTTATTCTCAGTTTTACAGCATCAGTGCAGCTCTATGCAATTTTAACTACGTCTGAACAAGTTTGCAAACACAGTCTTCAGTAGAGAAAATCCTTAGAAGGGACTTTTCATTCTGGTCTCTTTACTTATTGACATATTGGTCTCATAGGGAAAAGACTAGTTTGCTTCCCCATCATTCACGTACATGTAGGTAAAACTTAGAATAATTTCAATAAAAGCTTACAACATGTGTGCTTCTACTCCACAGAGCAGTTTCTTGGGTAGCTTAACATACTCTTACTTCCTGAAGGGAGTTTAAGGCAAACAATAAGGAAAACCAGGCTTCATTGTTTTACAGGTGAGGAAACTGAGCCTCAGTGAGGATGGAACTTGATCAAGGTCATACTGCCAGTGAAAGACCTGCTATGCAGGTCCGAGGTCCACAATGCCTACACGACACTGCCAGAAATGCCCCAGCCAGAGTCCTGCCTGCCTTTTTCTGTGGAAATGAAGATCACCACCAGCTGGACAGTGACTCTCCACAATGCCTGAATAATGACCTGGGCAGCAGCCCAGGTAAGAAAGGAATACGCTTCTGTCTAAACAACACTTCCACATCAGTCAAACAGGTGTATTAATGCCTTTTGCACCTGACTCGGTCTTGTTAATTATTTCTTCTTTGGAGCCACTGTTTCTGTAAATCCAATCTTAAAGGAAAGAGAGGAAGACTGAAGAGAAATGGTTTGATAGCATCCAAACAAAATCACTTTCAGAAAGTAAACACGAGACAGGGCTCCTGACCGGCTGTCGGTGGAGTATGTAACTTTTGGTCTCAGGGTCATGAGTTCAAGCCCCATGTTGGGTGCAGAGCTTACTTAAAAAAAAAAAAAGTAAACACAAGTCTGAGAATGTTAACATGACCAATTAATGTCATTATCACCAACCATTCTTCACCGGGGTCCTGGGGAGGAGGTATATCTTTTTCAGAAAGATCTTCTTCATCATCGTCTCTTTCTCCTGCCTTCCTACAATCTCTGTTGGCACCAAACACCTCCATCTCTTTGTGTTTGTCTATGATCTTCTGTGTGAAATCCACAAGGTACATATCCTCCGCTTCTTCATCTAAGACATAAAAATCAATATTCAGATTTTTGACATTCTTTTCAAAGATGTAAACCACATATGGAATTGATATGAAGCAGTCACATTCACCACTGGGAGGCCACACTCCCCCTGGACGGCTCACTAGTCGATGCATCCGCCACCCCCACCACCCCCTGAAAGTTTACAAAGACACAGAGCCACTGCGGGATCTAACCGTGGAGCTGCAAATGTGCCATCAGAAACACATACCACACTAAAAAAATCTTAAGAGTCTAAAGTCTTCTGTTGCCTCGTCAATACAATGAGTGAGCAATATGGTCTCAGAATGTAACTTTAAGATAAAACCACGTGATTTCAAAGAGACTCATTCACCCAATGACATAATATAGAAGCAGGACTGCATTTCTCATGTCGCCAGACCAAAGCAACAGACCTGTGTTACTACATGTAGCTCCCCAATCAAGGGGCTATATTATTACCAACCCTAATTATACTGTTGTGGTATGGTGTTTTAAGGGTCATAATATAGGGAAAAGAAGTCATCTGAATTCTTTTCAATGCAATTAACACCACTTTCAGGCAAGGCATGGTGCCAGGATCTGTAGTGCATACAGAGACGGGTAAGACCTATAGCTTATAATATGCTTGAGCTAAAACATATACGCTGAAAGTTAAATAGCAACCCGTGACTTTAATTCAATTTAACCCAAGACAGTTGAAATACTCACAAATAACATTTACGTTAAGTTTCACTATGCTGAATTTTCTCTGAGGTTTTTGAGTACAGGATTAAGCTCTATGGAACAGGTATTAGGTTCCCTGTTACCAGGTACCGGTGTTAACCCCCAAGGTACAGTGGAGAATAACTGAGGCTCCAAAACTTAACTTGCCCAAATATCCAATATGCCTATCAGGCCTATCAGGTCCCACCATCCTGGACAGAACCAAATCCCCAGGTCCACAGGCACACTCCTTTGACCTGATTTCTATATTAACGATACAAGTAAAGTCTGAATTAAAAAAAAAAAAAAAAAAGACTAATTTTTTTTTTAAGCCACAAAATAACTCACATGGGAAAGAGATGTACTTTCTTTCTCAGAGCGGAGTTCTAAGACCACATAACAGTGAGGCCTCCTGGTTAATAGACACCCTGCTGCTTCATCCAAAGGAAGACACAGCCTCTCCCCATGTCCCCTAGCTTTGAGAGTGCCTACCTCTCCCATGCTGGGCTCCCTGCCAGGCAGGGAACATGCCTCTGCTGCCTGGAAAGAGGGAGGTGGGCTGTGTGGGCAGCCAATGACCAAGGTTCCGGCCCTGCCTCTTCTGCTGCTGCCCCACTGCCCCCTTTCCCAGCCCATCAGGCCCAGCCATACTAGTCTGTCTGCCAACACTAGCCCTCTCCTCTCTCTGCTGATCTTCTCTCACCACTCTACCCTGCAGAATCCCTTTCTCCAGCTCTCCAAAGCCTGTGAGATCCTATTAGAGCCTACCTTCTCCCTAAAGACTTCCTCACATGCCTTTTGGCAATGAAAAATGCAGTGCCTTGTAAAATCTCTTCTACTGCTATCTAATAGTAAGGCTGAGGGGCGCCTGGGTGGCGCAGTCGGTTAAGCGTCCGACTTCAGCCAGGTCACGATCTCGCGGTCCGTGAGTTCGAGCCCCGCGTCGGGCTCTGGGCTGATGGCTCAGAGCCTGGAGCCTATTTCCGATTCTGTGTCTCCCTCTCCCTCTGCCCCTCCCCCGTTCATGCTCTGTCTCTCTCTGTCCCAAAAATAAATAAACATTGAAAAAAAAAAAATTTTTAAAAAAAATAGTAAGGCTGGGCGTTCCTTCTCTGGGGGGGGAGGGGGTATGGGGAAAGGGGGATCTTCTTATTATTTTAGAAGCAATTACAGGCACATCACAGAAAAAAATAGAAAATAGGGACAAGGAAACCTAACTCCAACACCCTGATATACCTATAATTCCCCTCAGTCATTTTTTAATATAGGTAGAATCGTTTCTAATTGTAGCCTATTTAGACCTCATTTCCTAACTTTGCTTTGTTCTGCGTGCCATTGTCCTCCACTGATGACAATCCCCTTGAGGACCGAGAAGAGACTCTGGCTCATGCTACCCTTGTTTGTCCCCTCACAGCACCTAACATGTGGTGCACACTGGACAATCAGAGATTACTGTGGATGTATTTTCTCGTCCCTGTGCTGGCTCAGAAGGTAATGCATGTTATTTCTTAAATCTTTCCCCGTACTTAAGGTTATTTTAATAAATAATGAAATACCACAGGGCTATATGAGTTACAGAAAATAAAGAAGTATAAATAAATTATTGTATTTACCTATAAAGTCTCCTTTAGTCATTTTTTCATATAATTTGGCTTTTTCTTCTAATTTCTCCCTAGGAGAAAAAAAAGACAAGTATTAGAAATGGTCTTACGCCTGCTACTCGTGTGAAGGCTGCCTGACTGCTGCAATCTGCCAGGAGGCCCAGTCTGGCGATGAGGCTGAGCTGACCACCCCACCCTAAGGGGACCCTCAGACCCAGCCACTCCTGATTGCCAACTTCATGTAAGTTCCATGAGGACAAGCCCCATCTTTCTCTTATTAATGACTATATCCCAGTGCCTAGAACAATACCTGGTATATAGTAAATTCTCAATCAGTATCTGAAAATAAATAATGAATTAAGATTCCAAATGCAAACTAAGTTAAATACCAAAAAAAGAAAGAGGTGTCTAAATAAAAACATTTTCTATGTGCAACCTTCTAAAGGGATCACCATGTTCAATGCACACCCTTCGCATTACTGTTTTAAGGCACGAGTCCCTGATCATCTGTGGCTCATTAGGCTTCTCTAAGGGAGCTAAAGATCAACTTCTTAGAAGTCTGCTAAAATATGATGCATGAATACATCATACATGTATTACACAGAGCATGAGTAATTTATTCATGACACAGCTAATAAAAAACAAACATCAACCCTGGTATTTCAATAAAGCAGCCTCACTGGTCACGTTAATTCTGGTGACATTTACTTTTTAGTGGACACAGACTTAGTAAGATGGCTAGCAATTCCTTATTTTAGAAATAATGATGGTAAAGAGAAGTCCCAAAGAAGTCATGTGAGCTTTTGCTTGCGAAGAATCAATCACACTTAATCATAAAGGAAAATTTCACTTCTAATGGCATCCCGAGACAATAAAGTCCCTTGGTCACATGGCTGTGTGCTCTGGAACAAATTACTTCACCTCTCTTGTACCCCACCCCACCCCCAGTTCCTAAATCTGTAACAGATGAAAAAAACAGCACTGCCTCTTAGGGTTGTCATGGAGAGTAACTAGATCACACACGGAAAGCATGCCATCAGGTACGTCATCTGCATCTTCGTCATCTAGGTCAGAAAGATTCCTCTCCCATTTTATGCATTCCTTCAACAAGTACTTCCTCCAGGCCTCCTCTATGCCAAGCACTGTTTCCGTAACAAGGACTCTATTTCGGAGGGGGCTTAACGTAGTAAGCTGTGTCATCAGAGAATCTTACTGTCTTAATGAAAATAAAACCTAAAAAATTTTTAAAAAACAAACCACAAAAAAACAGGTGTGAGGACAGAGTAACCAGGAGGACACTAGGCTAGAAAGGGTAGCCAGGGGAAACCTCTCTGAAGGTGACATTTGAGCTAAGGCTTACAGAGCAAGAAGCCAACCATGAGAGGATCTTGGGGAGAAAGCAAGTGAGACAGAGGAAGGAGGAAGTAGGAATGAGCTTGATATGTTCAAGCAGAGATCACAATGGTGGAGGATGCTGAGCAAAGGAGAGGGGGGCACAAAATAAGGAAAGAGGCAGGTACAAGAACGCGTGGGAGGGGCACCTGGGGGACTCAGTTACGTGTGCAACTCTTGATTTCAGCTCAGGTTGTGATCTCACAATTCATGGGATTGAGCCCTGTGTAGGGCTCTGCACTGGAAGCACTGAGCCTTCTCAGTGGGATTCTCTCTCTCTCCTTTCTCTCTGCCCATCCCCCACTCCCCCAGCACACACGGGCACTCTCTTTCTCAAAAAATAAATAAATACACTTAAAAAACAAACAAACATGAGAAAGCATAAGAAGCCTGGATGCAGTGTAACAGAAAGATGGCAGGAAGAGTCTCCAGATGAATAACGGAGATCAAGGAAGATGTCAGAGAAATGGCCACCACTGGATTTAGTAGATGAGGAAGTCATTAGAGACTTTAAAGAACAATTTCTTCAGTCAAGTAAGAAAGATGGAATTCAGAGGGCAAGAGTATGGGACACTTATCTGGAACAACTATGTGCCAAACACTATGTATCTCCTTTAATGAATTCCCTACAAAGCTCCATGAGCTGAGTATTAACCACCTCACTTCATAGATAAGGAACATCTCAATGGAGAAGTAACTTGCCTAAGGTCTTACATCCTCAAAGGACTGTCCCTGCCCATCTTGAGCTCTGGGGAGACTCAGAAGTCCTGTAGACCAAGGACAGACTTGACTCTCCATAAGCACAAAGAAGCCAAAGTATTATGTAATAGGTTACTGGATAAAAAAAAAATCACAGCAAAGTACCCAGGAAAACTCTTGTTATATACAGTAAATAACAAAGGATTATGGCACCTTTCAACAAATTAGAATTCTGAGAATATTCCAGTAGGGTGAGAAAGATGTCTCAAAAATTAACATATGCTATGTCTGCTGGGAACAGGTCAAACACTAAGAAAAACAATTCCCCAAATGCGCTAATATTCTGCCTCTTTTTTTCAAACCCAGAAGAGCTGAGTAATCTTAGCAACTACTGTTTCCAAGTGCAGAGTTTTTATTACGCAATAGATCCAAAAGCACATGAGTCATGACAGACATTCAAACTTGGGATTCCCTCTGAGTCTAGGGTGACACTGTAAATAACGAAGAGTTCTTCTTTACAGAAGAATGCCAGCTAACAAATGGAATGAAAAAATAAAAATGGAACGAATGAATTAGAAAATCATCACTTTGAAATCACCAGTCTAACAATTGAGAAGTTACAAGGTTCCACTGGGTGGAAATATGTTGGTGAACAAGATATTCATAGTCTCAGAGTTGCCCTCCTTAGATTATTATTAGTTACAAATGGGAAAGAGACCTTTACGGTGAAAAAATCTATCTTAACCAAGTGATCAAAGTTCATCACCAATAACTCAAACTGACATTGTGAACCTCCTGCTGTGATCCAATGGGAAGGACACACCGCCTACATCTTATTCTTACCAAAAGCAGTTAATGAGACTTTAATTAGATTGTGGGACACTGCAGACACAAGCCTGGACTCACCAAGAACAGTAATGGCACAACAGATGACAAAAAGGCATGGGAATTATTCTAGACTAAAAGAGACTAAAGAAATAGGACAACTGGGGTGCCTGGCGGGATCAGTTGGTAGAGCATGCCACTCTTGATCTCAGTCGTGAGTCTGAGCTCCATGTTGGGTGTAGAGATTACTAAAAAAATAATTTTAATAAAAGGAAGAAAAAAGAAAGTCATTCTATATACAAAAGCTCTCCCTCTTTAAAAAAGAAGAGGGGTGCCTGGATGGCTCAGTCAGTTGAGCACCCGACTCTTGATTTCAGCTCAGGTCATGATCCCAGGGTCATGGGATCAAGCCCTACATCAGGCTCCCTGCTGAGCATGGAGCCTGCTTAAGATTCTCTCTCTCTCTCTCTCTCTCTCTCTCTCTCTCTCCCCCCCCCCTTTGCCCTCTCCCCTGCTTACACCCTCTCTCAGAAAGAAAGAAAGCAAGAAAGAAAGAAAGGAAAATGACAGACTAAATGGAATGTGTGATCTTTGAATTCTGAATTAAAACAAAACAAACTATAAAGGATTTAACTGTGCCAGGATAACTGGTAAACTCGGACTATAGATCATATCGTATATAATACTATTTTATCAGTGTTAAATTTCTTGGGTATGATAGCACTATTGTGGTTATGTAGGAGAATATCCTGTTCTTAGGAGATACATGCTGAAATATTTTGAGGCAAAGTATCATGATGTTTAACAAAGTTTCTCTGACACACACACACACACACACACACACACACACCAGAGACAGAAAGGAGCCAAAGCAAATGTGGAAAGACATTAATTGGTAAACCCAGGTACTGTATTCTTTTTTTTTTTTTTTTTTTTTTTAAATATGTATCTATTTTTGAGAGAGAGAGACACAGAGTGTGAGTGGGGAAGGGGCAGAGAGGGAGGGAGATACAGGATCTGAAGCAGGCTCCAGGCTCTGAGCTGTCAGCACAAAGCCCAACTCAGGGCATGAGCTCACAGACCACAAGATCATGACCTGAGCTGAAGTCGGATGCTTAACCTATTGAGCCACCCAGGCATCCTTTCAATTAGCCTGTTGCTTTGAAGTTTTTCAAAATAAAAAGTTAAAGGGAAAATTCAGTTTCGAAATGCTAACATCATAACACCTAGTAGCCCAGAGCCACACCTTCCTAGGGACATTTCTTCAACACTTGTTGATAATCTTAGTGCCTAACAAAGGCTCAAAGTTGGATTCTGTTTCATGTTCCAAATGGAGGTTATGTCTTATCTTCTTATACGATTACAAATGATATTATTTTTAGAGGCTATTTTATATTTTTGTAGTATTTGACTGAAAAGATGACAAAATTAAACCTATAAATTCAAAAGTGTGAAGTGGAACTCTCACTTCTTTGCTTGGGTAACACCAAAGGCAACTACATTTATCAGAGTTTAACTCTACCTTGCTTTGTCTAAAGTCTTCTGTTCCTCAATCTTCTGTTCTGCATCCTTCTCAGCTCTATTTGTAACTCCTACATTCTGTTTGCTCCAGATACTTGGTTTCTGCAGCATATTAATTTAAAAAGACAAAACAGAAATACCAAATGATTGCAAAAAATCTCTACTTTTATACATCAGAAAAAAAAAACAGATTAGATCTTATGGATCAATGGAGAAAACTAGATCTTCTGACAGCCAACCTATGTCAGGCATATAAACTATACAAGGAAAAGCTGGAGGTGGGAAAAAAAAAAAAAAGCCCTAAATTATTTATAAAGAATTCCTTTTACGCGACTGCACATCTATCTTTTATCTCCTGAATGACTGCAACTTAACTCAAGAGAATCAGTAATACAAATAATAAGTACCATTACCTGTAAAATCGGAAAACCATTCACAACTCTTAAAGATCTTGGTATTTTCTGCTATATTACTGTATTATCTAATTGTTTCTCTCTGTTTGGATTTATAATACCTATGTAGCTGATCTTCCATGAACAGGTACAAAACCACTTATTAGAGCATGCACTTTTCCAAAAGAAGTGCTAAAGAATTACATACAACATTATAATAGGCTTTTAAGTGCTCTAATTTCTATTTTAATATAATATATTTTATGTGGATGTTCAGCTACAAGATAGGGATTTTCCCTGAAATTTTATATGTAGCAGAGACCAGGAGACTTTCAAAAAATCTAATTATGGCATAATTCCCTCATGTTTGGAATCAATGGAGATAACTAGATCTTATTTTTACCTTATTAGTTGTTTTTGGTTTTCCCAAAACTCCAGAATCTTTTAGAAGTTTTTCTTGTTTGAATTCTTCTTGTTTTCGGAAGAGTTCAGCCTTAAGGTCTACCAACTAGAATAAAACCAATAAGCAAACAAAAACGATGGGTTAGTTCTAATGAGTGACCAGATTTCCAAGTTACTGTAATTCTCAAAGCAAGATTTAAAGTTCCTACAAAATTAAATATAGAATCCAGTGCAAACTAAGTCAAGTCATAATGCATTCCATCTCTGTTGGAGACGTATTTCTACTCTAACCTTCAACACTGGGCAAGGGGCGGGTAATTACTCAAAAGTAAATGAAGTTTGCATCTATTAGATTCAGACTGAATTAACAACACTAAACACCTTCTCTCTGATACTGTAATCCCATATAATCATCACAACAATTTATTATTTCTGCAGAGAAATGTCTTCAGCAACTATCCGAGTACTGAAGAGCAGGATATAAACATGAAATAGAAACACTTCTGCCTCAGTTACAATCTAATAAAAAAGGTAACTTATAATACCAGTAAGATGTAATAAATGACTTTAAAAGTGGAAGAAGGGGTGCCCGGGTAGCTCAGTCCATTAAGGTTAAGCATTAAGGTTAACTGTCTGACTCCTGATTCGGCTGAGGTCATGATTTCAGGATTGTGAGATAGAGGCGTGACCGAGCCCCAAGTCAGGCTCTGTACTAAGTGTGCAGCTTACTTAAGACTCCCTCTCTCTTTAAATGTTTATTTATTTTTGAGAGAGTGTGGGGGGGGAAGGGGGAGAGGGAGGGAGGGAGGGAGAGGGAGAGAGGGAGAGAGGGAGAGAGGGAGAGAGAGAGAGAATCCCAAGAGGGCTCTGTGCTGATAACAAAGAGCCTGATGTGGGGCTTGAACTCCGGAATTGTATGATCATGACCTGAGCCAAAGACTGATACTTAACTAAGCCCACCCAGGTACCCCTCTCTCTCTCTCTCTCAAAAAAAAAAAAAAAAAAAAAAAAAAAAAAAGAATGGAAGAAAACAGGGGCACCTGGCCAGCTCAGTCGGAACATATGACTCTTGATCTCAAGGTTGTAAGTTCAAGCCCCACGTTGTGTATAGATTGCTTAAAAAGTCTTTAAGAAGAAAAAAAAAGTGGAAGAAAATAGCATAAAATTTGAGCTGCAGGAGCATTTCCTGCTGTCCAGAGTGGTCAGAGACAGCTTTGAGTTGAGCCTTAAAAGACAGGAAAGGGGGGGCGCCTGGGTGGCGCAGTTGGTTAAGCGTCCGACTTCAGCCAGGTCACGATCTCGAGGTCCGGGAGTTCGAGCCCCGCGTCAGGCTCTGGGCTGATGGCTCGGAGCCTGGAGCCCGTTTCTGATTCTGTGTCTCCCTCTCTCTCTGCCCCTCCCCTGTTCATGCTCTCTCTCTGTCCCAAA